CTTCTATAACACATCACAGTGAACGTAATCGGATGCACCTTAACAAGGCAGGCCACGCCCACCATCATAAATATTAAGCGCGGCGTAGACTAGCTCGGGGCGGAGTTGGGATCAAAGGTGAAACAAACAAAGTGAGTGTAGTTGAAACGAAATTTATATTAATTGAATAAGGCTGCTATGATAAGGTGCACGTTGTCAGGTCGTCTTCTGTAAGACAACAGTCTCCATGACTACAGGCAAGTCCCGTGCAATTAAGTTGACGGGCGAATCCATGTCTTCTCCATAGCTTGTTTTATTATTCGAGGACATTCTTGTGAAGTTTACCTCTCTACTTTACTCACTGAATGAGAATGCGCATTCTATACACTCGCATGGCTACTCAAACTATAAATACACATTGCATTTCATGCCTCGCTAGGGAGGTATTACTCTTAAAGTCGTTCGCGGGTATTATCGGATATTCAGATTTTACACTATGGTTTTATTTTATGTGTTTATTTTATTTCACACCAGTCACGTAAAAACATGTGGTTAACGTGGCGGAACTACTTTTTGCTGGGAAAAATGGTTTAAAAACCATGAAAACGGCAGAGTTTGAGCCATTTTGTTCGAGCCATATTTGTATTGTTTTATATGAGGAAAATCCATTCGGTATAATATAGTGAAAAAATGTATGTTGTTATAAGATAGGTAATTCTAATTGTTACGAATAAGTAGGAAATTCTGGGTAATACTATCATTAATTTTTCTTTAAATAAGACCTTTACATGAATTCCATGAAAATTGTTCCTAAAATGCCCATTTTTGGTATTTCGTCACGCGATGTTCTCTAAAACCATGATTTGTGCTTGGTAAAAACACTTCGAAAGGCCATGTAAGATACATGTATATTAAAATAACTTCGAACGACCTTAAAGCGAGGGAGTCGTCACCTGCGCATGCGTCAGATGGCCATAGCGTGTCATTGTTTACAAACAAGCGTCTACCCATGAGCCTTTGCGTTTTAGCGTATGTTGTTATAGTCGCATGGGACTTAATTCCCGCGCGTGCGCAGGTGACGACCCTCCCGCTTTAAATTAAAATAGTATACGGTTATATGCCTTCAACATTGTCTAATTCTGTCATTTTGAAGAATATAGAATGAGAAAGTGTTTTTTTTTAATTCAATAACAATTAAGACGCGCGGGCGACTGACCTAGTAAATGTGGTAGACTGATATATCATGATTTGGAATCATAATAATCATTGATTTGAACACATGTCACAAATTTGAACTTTGACCCGTTCACCTAACACGAAACGAAATTTACGAGGGGAAAAAAGTCGGAAATTGCACAACTTTATTAGTAACCCATTCTGACATGATTTATAAAATTACAAATAATCCGGACTTCCAAATAATTTACTAATTAATTTAATTATTGTCATCTCATAAATACATAGATTTTTATCATCTATATAACGAAACGAAATGTTGTGATATGCTGGGACCTTTTTAGCATATACAAATCAACGGTGAATGAATGATAAATCGCATTGTGTACTGGTATGGGGTCAATTGCGTTGACAAACATCCCTTTAGCGCTGCAAATGGTTTAAACAGATACGGTAAAATACATTGTTCTCACCCTCATGTGCAAGTTCATCGTTAAAAAGGGCGATTTGTTTCGAAGATGTGTTGCTCAGATCGGTTGTTTGATAATTGTCTAAACCGAGTTTTTAGTTTTTAAAAATAATAATTTATGAATGCTTTTGACAGAAACAACACATGTAAAGGCTTGTTGGTCAAGTAGTCACGTGACATGCCCTATAGCTTATGTAATATTAAACAAATAGTGAGGGTCAATATTTGGTTTTAATGACCCGAAGAGAAAATTAATGACCGATACTGAGGTAACTATATGTTTAAATACACTGTATAAATTTAACACAAGACACATACAAACAAATCGAATATCGAAGTCTGTTGTAAACCACATTGCAAGCGCAAATACGAAATCGAGGTCACTGGATTTTTCATTATTGATAATAATGAGTTTTATTGACCGCCACGTGATCGCAATGTGGCCAATCAACATGACGATCATGTACACTACCACGGCTGATAATGATCGTGACACTGGTCGGCGATACTGGTCGGCGCCTCGCGTTTGACGTATATAAGGTAGAGGGCGCAATATATAACGGTCACTGCGCAGGCTTTTCCCCATGCTTCGCGCCACTCCTCCACGTATTAGCAATTCGTACTCCAACCATTCGCTGTGACGGCCGCGTAGCGACAACCTGTTCAAATTACGCATGGTTCGATTACAAAACACTCACGTTACGCTATGCAATCAAATTAGGCAACTTAGCGATCAGTTTGGTTTATTATAAAATATAAGTTGGAATTTACCAGAAAAGCTAAACGCGAAGAAGTGTAACGCGTTTGACTCCAAGAAAACGACGTGGACGAAGAATCGAAGCAAGAATTTGATAATCACAAGTTTTGACACGTAATGTTATCGGCAATTTTCAGGACTCATCTTGGAAACAGAATGCTTTATGTCCGCAGGATTAGAATGGCTTTCATATTCATTTTGTTTTTACTTCTCGTGCCAATTAATGGTGTTAACGGGTCGACAACGGAAGCGGGCTGCGTAATGGTGCCGTGGGATGAGTGCAGTGCCACGTGCGGACCGAGTGGGGTACGGAATCGCTCGTGTAATGGAACGTACACAGAAACAGAAGCCTGCAATCGCTACTGTATTAGTGGGATTCTAGAAGGAAGTGCTTGCAAATGTTTCAACAATTTTACCGGTGTTTGTTGCGAGAATTATGGTATGTTGATAGCATTTATTAGTAAACTTGTTGATTCCAATTCAAGTTATTGTCCGAGACGTAACGCCCCTATGTGGGTTCGAACTAGGAAGCTCAAATCCTAACATCTTGCCACGCGGGGGGTTAAAAATAGGGGGGCCGCGGCCCCCTCCGTCGGTCCCCCTCTAAATCCGCCCCTGGTAAAATACTTTATTTTTGCTTGGATGATTCAGTGAAAATAAAATCCAGCGAATATATCTTTTGTCCTACATTTTACATTCAACTCGTCAAAAATCAGTGAAAATAAATTTCATACAAAACACCCAAAAATTCTTTTCAGCGAAAATTAATTCCAGCTAAAATAAAGTATTTTACAGTAACTTGCAAACAAAAATGTGGCAAGTACCAACAATTTTGAGTCATTTACCATTGGTTTCTATGACAGAGGTAGTTGAGTCCTTGTGAAAGTAAAAATTTAAAGACGAAACCGCGGAATATAAGCTCAGAGTGTCGAACGTCTGGATGCCTATCCCGAGGCGTGTTAAATTTGACACAATTATTTATTATCACCAGAAAAAAATCATAGGCTGGTAGCCGCGATTTCCAATTTGCGGAACAGTTGAATTTTTTTTTGAAAAAAAAAACAGACAACGCCTGTCTGACAACATTCCCTACATTTTCGTTGACACATCACAGACGGACTCGGTGCATCGTTTTTAAACAGTCAAATAACGTTTCAATCCGGTCAAAAGCCCCTTTTTGAAATTACAGTAGGAACAGAAAGTGGTTCGAAGTTGGCCTTATGCCAGGAATGGTAACGGAATGACGTATTGTGCATTTCGTAGAATACTTGGTGATTTCGAATTCGCTGAATCCGTTGTTTATACTCATCGGCAAGCGTTCTCGTTGTTGATGAGATATGCATTGTCATCGTCAGACACTCAATACACAGTTTATTGTACTACACAACGTTCAGCAATTTCTATGATATATAATAGCCAAATCGATGTCATATATAGAGGATATTTCCGCTGAGTGAACCATGATATCAGATTTATTAAAGGGTTGTGGTCGTCGTGCGTCTTCCTGCTCGATGTGGGACCCATAGTGACGTGTACGGTGTCAGAACGGTCTGTCCCTGGTCGCTCGCGACGTCCAAACCAAGGCCGGATCGTTCTTTTTTTACCAGGGCCACAAGCGACCAGGGCTGGATCGTCTAGAAATCAAATACATGAAATTGATACACGCCCCACGCGATGTTTGTAGATTCCATAGGTTTTGTCCTGAACCTTAATTAAGGTAGTAGCCTAGTAATATTTTTCGAGAAGTTGGGCATAAATCGTATGACAATTTTCGTTGATTTATTGTGTAAAATCACGAAGCTATTGTCAGATGACACAATTAAATAACATACTTTTGTGTGTTACAGTGACGTATTTTGAGAAACTTGTTCTAATATTTTTCAAAAATCGATATTTTTTTAATAATTCCC